CTAAAGTGTTGTGGGTTCGATCCCCATTGAGGGCACACACCTAGGTTTCGGGTTCAATCCCCAGTTGGGGTGTGTATTGGAGACAACCAATTGATGTTTTTCTGTCTCTCCTCCCTTTCCTTTCTCTCTAAAATCAATTTTAAAAAAAGAATACATGCACCCCCATGTTCTTTGCCATGCTATTTACAATAATCAAGATTTGGGAGCAGCCCAAGTGCCCATCAGTAGGTAAGTGGATAAAAAAAATCTGTGTACATTTACATGATGAATACTACCCAGTCATAAAAGAGGAAATCCTACCTTTCATGAGAGCATGGATGGACCCTAGAGAGTGTTATTTTAAGTGAAATAGACCAGTCAGAGAAAGACAAACACCATATGATTTCATTTATATGTGGAATCTAATGAACAAAATTTAAAAAAATAGAAACAGACTCAGAGGTATCATGAACAGACTGACAGCTGTCAGAGGGGAGTGAGACTTGGGGAGTCTGGGTGAAACAGGTGAAGGAATTAAGCCCCCAAAAAACCCAAACCAAAACACACACAACAGCATGGCAATTACAGAGGGAAAGGGAATGGGGCGGATTGAAGAGGGTACACGGGGGATAAATGGTACAGACGCAGACCATACTTTCAGTGGTGAACATACAGTACAACATACAGATGACATACTATACAATTGTACACTTGAAACCTACATAATTTTATTAACCAATATAACCCCAATAAATTCAATTTAAAAAGATCCTGCTTTATAGCATTTTCCATTTCACATTATAAAATTTGACTTCCTAAAAGGCTCTGCCTCTTTAATTCAGTGCCAATAATTAAATTTTAGTTCTTAGCCTTGAAATGCTGGTGACAAAATTCTCAGCCAGATAAGAAGGAAAAAAGGTTCTTTCCTGCCCCAAAAGCAAGGGTGAACAACAAATGTATTTTTTAACATAAATCTGTCTTTATAAATATTTTTAACAAAGATAATTTGTCAAACCTGTAGACCTCCAAGACTTTGGACAGACCTTTTAAAAATGACCCTTAACCTATAACACATCTGTAATTTTGACCACTCATCTTAATAATTTAATGCTCTGGTGAGAATGTTAACGTCTTCATCTACATAAAGGTAAAATTATTTGTGATTTTTTTTTTGTCAAACCAGAAAAGAACCATCAGCATTTCCCTTTTCTCTCACATACAGAATAAAATGGCTTTCCTGGGTTTTTCTTAAACAAAGTGTGAGAGACTGTGGGATGACAGAACCAAGCAGGGAGGGGGAACATAAGGAGGGTGATTCCATGCTGAGCCTAAAACTTAGCCCATAATAAAAAGAAAAAAATTTTAAGTTAAGTAAGCCCTGGCTGATGTGGCTCAGTGGATTGAGCACCGGCCTGCAAACTGAAGGTTCTCAGGTTCCATTCCCAGTCAGGGCACCTGCCTGGGTTATGGGCTAAGTCGGGCCCCCAGTACGGGGTGTGCGAGAGGCAACCACACAATGATGTTTCTCTCCCTCTCTTTCTCCTTTCCTTCACCTCTCTCTAAAAAATAAATAAACAAAATATTTTTTTTAAAGTCAAGTAAGATGAGTTTCCATTTGGGTCTCAGGGGGAGCCTACCTACTTCTGTTATATTTCCCTAGTTAAATCAAAACTTTGTTAAAGAATTATTTGTACTGAAAATCCAGAGCTATTAGAAAGTGAGACAATTATGAGATTTTACTATGTTGATGATTTTTGTCTAGAGGATTTTGCAAGAGGTCACTGGCGGTACAGGCAGCAGTTTAATCAAAGCAGATGGTCCCAAACTTGAGTGCGTCAGAATCATCTGGAGGGCTGTTAAAATGCAGATTCCTGGGCTCCAGACCTGCCATTTCTGATTCAGTGGTCTGGGGTCAGACTTGAGAATTTGCATGTTAATATATTTCCAGGGGATGCTGAAGCTGCTGGTTTAGGGACCACATTTTGAAAACTACCGGCATAGAACAGTTGTTATTCCAACATGTTCTATCATTTGCTTTTCTGAGTTGATCAAGTAATAATTTCATCTGATTTGAAATAATTCTTTGTGAGAAATGAGGCTAAGATGGAGTGTATTCCCACCCTGTGGGCAGACATGATGCAGAACACAGAGGATCCAGCTGGTTGCTCCTCCTCCGTAACCAAGAACCACAAGCCACCACTCCAAGATTAAAGACAAGAAGAAGAAAAGAAAGGGAGGAAGGAAGGAAGAAAACTTAAGGAAGCTATGTATATATGTATATATTTTTCTCCTCTAGATATACAGGGTTGGGCTAAAGGAGGTTTACAGTTGTAATACAAATAAATACAATAATTAATTAATAATAATACAAGAATAAACTCTGTTTCTGTACTCACAACTGTAAACCTACATTTGCCAACCCCGTATCTTCTCCTTGCTTTTTCTTGGAAGGAAGTGCTGCTGCATGATCTTCCGCTTTCCCAAGAAATCAATGATATCTTTTATTTGAGTGGGACGTTTATTTTCCCTGTGTGAAAGCTCATGGGAATCTGTGTTTAGGGATCTGTATCTATATTCATGAGTGTGACTGACATAATTTTTCTGTCTTTAATGTCTTTGTCATGCTTTTGGTATAAAAGTTATACTAGCTTCATAAAATGAGGCGATATATCCTCTTTTAGTTTCTGTACAAACTCGTCTAGGATTAGAATTACTTTTCCTTAAGTATTTGGTACAACTGGCGGGTGGTGTAGCAAACAGGGCTTTGAGTTTCCTTTGTGGGAAGATACTCAACAATCAATTCGATTCTTTCTATAGATGATGACTAAAAAAAAGCATTCAATGTGACTGAAAAATTAGTTCATTAATCATTGTATGGTACCCCCAACTAGCAGCTATTTTCAAAGAGAGGGCAAAACCCATTTCCATCACGGGCCATTGCCTGAAAGAAGGTCATTGGTTTAGTGTTCCCTCCCTTATAGATGAGTGTAAGGGAGAGGAGGGGCGCTCAGAGAAGGCCTCTGGGTTACTTCAGGAGTTCAGTTCAGGGGTAGGAATAAGTGTTTTCCAAACTTTTAAAAAAATGTTATATACATTTCATAAATCTATACTTATGCTCACTATCTGTGATGCAGGCTGGTATTTTCTTTCTTTTTTTTTTTAAAGATTGTATTTATTGCCCTCGCTGCTGTAGTGGATTGAGCACAGCCTGCGAACCAGAGTATCGAGGTTTGATTCCCAGTTGGGGCACATGCCTGGGTTGCAGGCCAGTTCCCAGCAGGGGACTCATGAGAGGCAACCATACATTGATATTTCTCTCCCACTCTCCTTCCCTTCCCCTCTAAAGATAAAGAAATAAAATATTTTTAAAAGATTGTATTTATTTATTTTTAGAGAGGGGAAGGGAAGGAGATAGAGAGGGAGAAAAACATCAGTGTGTGGTTGCCTCCTGCACACCCTCTCCTGGGGACCTGGCCAGCAACCCAGACATATGCTCTGACTGAGAATTGAACTGGCAACATTTTGGTTCTCAGGGTAGCATTCAATCCACTGAGCCACACCAGCCAGGGCAGGCTGGAATTTTTCATTCTGTTTTTCTATACTATTTTTAACTATGTATATATAAAATATTTGTTATATACTTTTTATATAATACTATACTGTATATATTTATAAGTAATTTATGTCATTCCACCAATACAGTGTGTGTGTGTATATATATATGTATATATATGTATATGTCTAGTCTTTCAGGGTCGTGGATGAGGTTTGAAAGTGGACCTAGGACCACGACCAATGCTTTCAGGTTATTCTGTTCGGGGATAAAGGAGTCTTTGCCTCTTGCCTGTGGGGAAGATTCCAGTTACTCAAGATCCGCATTTATCAGGTAGGCTAGAGTGAATTTACGTGCCAAGTTCCTGATTCATGCCGCAGCATGGAAAGAACCGAAAGGCACTACCAGAAATTCCCCTCCTGCTCTTCTCTTGGCCCGCTGGAGAGGGAAGAAGCCATCAGAGTCCTGCTGAGAGGAAACTATACTTGGGAGGAAAATGCTGGCGCAGGAACACTTCCTGCCCCCGCCCCCCCAACTTAATCCCACCTCCTCTCCCAACTCTGCACCTATTTCCTCCTCCAGTCTACCTTCCCCCTCCCCCATCCTCCCTGCAAATGAATAATTGGCCCAGCCACCAGCCACTGTGAGGGGTGGGAAGGTCAGAAGCCCACCCTGGAGTCCAGGAAAGGTTGCCAGGGGTCACGAGTGAAAGCATAAAGTCAGCCCCACTTGCTGTTGTGGCACCACTTGCAAGCAGGCCTGACCTTGTTAAACATGACCGCCCTTTTACTCTCCTGAGTTTGTGCCCCCGGGACAGAAAATTACTAGAAAGCAGGAACAGAACTAACCCGCTCCCTACAGCCAAAGGCAGAAGATAACATTGGAACAAACTCCAGCCTCCTGTTATGACACCCCAACAGCCCAGGGGCTACACAACAACAAACCCCCACTTTTGTAATCCAATTATAATCCAATAGAAGCTCCAAGCCCCACCCCTCAAGGCTGGTATAGCTCACTGTACCCCTTAAGAAAGTAAATGTAAAAACCCTTTACTCCCTGCACTTTCTTCTCTTTGCGAATTCTTTCACAGCCCGCGACATCGACCACCCTAATAGCGCAGACGCTCACTAGGGATATTTCTGGGTTGCGACCCATCTGGCTACCAGGCGTAGGTCAAGGTTGGGGTCTCAGTCTGGAGGAGGCGAGACAACATGCCAGGTCACAGCCCCAGGCGCGGGAATAGCGTAGACAGGACGAGAAAACCTATGGGTAATGTCCGAGGGCTGGCAATCTCCAGTCAGGGAGGGACTTGGGAAGATTGGCCCCACCCTCTCCTCCCACTCAGCTCGGAGAACCACCTCGCTGGGATTTAAACTGTGATTTCGCTTGACGTTTCTCCTCACCCACCACGCCCAACCCTGAGTGGCGTTAGGCGGGACCAATCATAGCCTCAAGACCGGAGGTGGGTGGGGCCAGAGGGTTAGAGCGGAGCCCTGAACCTGGCTGTGAGGTGCATCAGTCCGGAGGTGGGGGTATGGTGCATGGCGATTTATGCTTCTCTCACGAGCCCTCACCCGGTCCTTGAGACACTGACGGAAGTGGACATTGCATCTCTAAACCCCAGGTTCAATGGGAGACGCTTGTATGCAGCATCCTGGAGCGCCTGCCTGGAGGAAGAAGGCATCCAGAGGCTCTGCATATACTTGCAGAACGTGCAGGCGCCACTTACCTTGCAGACGCCACTTCAGGTAAGGTCTGGAGAGGTAATTGTGTCCCCCAGGAATCACCCAGCGCGAGGAATGAGGAGGGGTTTGGACCTCTAAATCCCTCCGTGGGGCCCTGTGAGGTGCGGGAGCAACGAAAATGGGTCTCCTCCCTGACCTAGTAGAGGAGATGCCGGACTAAACCGTTCAAGACCCTTTACTTGTAGGAGGTGTACTCTGAGTGCTCCTTAACAGGACACAGGTTCCCTTTTCAGGCCCTTTCCCAGAGCTAGCTGGACGCCATAAAGCACTACTGACCCTAATTGTTTTATGAGCCTTAATCCCCAGGACTAGAAAGTTACTAGAAGCGCCCCCCAAGGCACCGAGGCTCCAGGAACTTACAAAACAGGACATACCCGACCACGACGACCCGGACCTGACCCTGCACCGAGATAACGTGGAAACAAGTCGCAGCCTAACTGAAACACCCTGCTCTACAACTACCCCATTACCGATCAGACGATCCCCGCTCCTCAGGGCGCACATATCCGCACACAGCCCTTTCCCTCTCTTGGGAAAGTAAACAAAAAATCTTGGCTCTCTGACAGAAAACTACTTGAACAGCGTTCAAATTTTTTTAATTGTTTTAAAATCTCTGCTCTCTGCACTTTCTTCTCTTTGTGAATTCTTTCACAGCCCACATTGATAGAAGACTCAAGACTTGGAAAATTTTAGCTTAAGGTAAAAAGTTATATGTCTAGCAAGTAATGTGTACGTTAAAGCTTTTGTTTCAGAAACTACACTTAAAGCCCATCCTAGCTCTTGGGAAAACAGACGGCCTCCTGGGGCACTGCTAGTAGGTTACTGCCTGGGGACATCCGGACCTTTTGTGTTCCAGGGAGAATGGACCACCACCCTCCCCTGGGAACAGCTAACTGCCCAGGACAGGAATGCTGGAGCTTCACTCATCTAATCCTACCTGAATTTCAAAGCCCTCACCGCTCCTTGTTTATCCACTCACCACCACCTTATAAAATTCTGGCCAGGGAAGAGAAGGGAAGATGGTCTTGTTAGTGTATGAACCCACCATCTTCTCAGCTCGCTGGCCATCTGAATAAAGCGCCCATAAAGATTCAATCGCTGTCATTGCTTATTGAATTTGGTACTGACAGGCAGCCCAAAGGCTGGTGTCTTTTCTGGTTACAGCATCACAGACTACCTTAACACTCCTGATCTGGTGGAATCATTAAAGGAATCAGGTCTCAAGAGATACTTCGGGTGGAGCATTTTCCCCTTCAGTTCTCACCATGTTTGTTTGGATGTATAGCTCCTTCCCATTACCCTGAGGTGGCCTCAGTTTGTGCAATAGTGTTTTTCTGTCTCAGACGCCACCCTCTGGGCCTCACATCTGCAGCCTGAGATGGGGATGGGATCCAGAGGGATATAGGGGGAAGGGAATCTCTTCTTAGACCAGGGAAATCAGGAGCCACCCAGGGTACCTTAAGCAAGACCAGGATTCCAGGCCAGAGAAAATCATAAGCCATCTCCTTATCTCTTTATAATATATCTCCTTATAATGGATGTAATTGATGGCCTACCCTTACTTGGTGTTATGGTTTTTAGAGTGGACTTTCAGTAAAATAGACAAAAAACAAGTAGAATGAGAGTGAGGATACCAGGCCTCTTCATTCTGGCTTGTGGATTTCCCACTCCAAGTAAGTGAGGTACACATATGCCACCACTCTTAGGCTGGGGCCGACCAAGATGGTGACTCTCTGTGTGCTACAGAGGATGGGAGGGAGTATGACCATAGCAGGCAAGTGTGAGACTGACAGGCAGTGGATGTGGCCTAGAAGCCACAGCCTAGGGGGCCAGCCAGCACGTTCAAGTGAGTTCCTGCTGCTTCTTTGGTCAAAGGAAGTGAGGCAAGAGCCTGGTGGAAACAGCTTAGTCGTCAGTCTTAGAAGCAGTCAAGATGGAGAATTGCAGTCAGCAATTCAGGTTTTCCAGGAGTCCCAGTGCCCAGTATCAGGCTTCTGCCAGCGATGGCCTGCCCTTGTGGGCTGAGCTCCCTGTGCCCAGTGTGCCTTCAGGTCTCCCCAGCTTCTTCACAGAGCCAGGAGCTTGGACAGTGGCCAGAAGGGCATCCAGGCACCTGAGATATGGTCCCCCTACCTCCACAAGATCCACTTCAAGAATTCTATTCTTGCATTTTCCATATTTTTTGCCAGTAATTTAACAGAAGGAAACCAGGCCCCAGACTTAAGAACAAGTGTCACATGAGCATGTATGCATGTGTAAGTGGTGCTGCACAGCTGTGTGACTGGTTAGTCAAAGAGACATCTACCCCAGGTCTATATGAGGAGCAAATATGGAGTCAAAGAAACTTGGTATCGTCCCCAGATGTACGGTTCATTAGTGGGAGCCACTGTTGCAGGACAGATTTCTAGGAGTGTAGTTGTCCAATCTTATGCCTTTCTTTCCCCCTTGTTTCCAGATTCTATCTGGGACAAGCATTAAAATATTTATACTACTTTAGGATTAATGGTTTACTCTAGGACCTCAGAAACCACCCCCACTCTCCCACCCTGGCCTCATGGGGGTGATTTTCTCCTTACAGGTAGCAGAAGAGAATAATATCCTCATCTTCAAGTAAAAAAGGGGAAGTGATTCAAATATAAGGAAAAGGAAATTTGGTTCTTTGCCGTGGGGAAGAACAGCTGAAAATTAAAGAACAGCCTTGTGAGCTCAAGGGAGCTTTGGGGTTTGGTGATTTGGGGTGTGGGGCAGGCCCTACAGAATGCCAAAGGCTTCAAGGCTAATGTGTCTCTCCTTTAGTGTTTCCTTCCTCAAGTCTCTGCTGACAACGAAGTCTCTTCTTGAGTTGCATGTCTGTGTTCCTGTCAGGACAACACAGGAAGATGGCAGACAGTTTCAGTGGTCTTCCCCTCACATCTCTTGCAAGAAAATTATGAAAGATCACATGCCAACTCCCACAGCTTTGGGTGACCAGAAACTCTCAGCATGGATTTAAATAGTTGCAAGGTCTATAATTTCAACATATTATATACATTAACAATTAACATGTACAAATACAACTTAATCAGTCTGTCACATATCCAATGGAATCTAAATACCATAATTTTTGACACCCATAATCAAGTTTTAGAATTCACAAGCAGCTCTGACCAGGTGGCTCAGTTGCTTGGAACATCATCCCATACACCAAAATGTTGCAGCTTCCATCCTGGTCCAGGTGTGTACAGGAAGCAACTGATCAGTGTTTCTCTCATATAGATGTTTCTCTTTCTCTAAGAACAATAATTTTTAAAAATCCTCAGGTGAGAATAAAAAGAAATCCACAAACGAATTATTTCTTAAGAGCTGATTTTTCTTTTCAGTTCTCAACCCTGGCTACATCCTAACATATTCAATAATATATGAGGGGGCATGTCTCCCCCCCCAAATCAGAATTATCTTCTGGAGGGTGGCTACCCTCTTGTAGTAAAGGCTACCCCCACTTGGTGAGTATTCTAGGAACCCATCTGTATCGTGTACCAGCTAGCGTTCTTGTGAGAAGTGGTATTTGGCTTCAGTGAATTTTCTTTGAAGACTCTCAGTGTGTTTGCCTATTTCATGATGGGTGATTTACCAGCACACCTACCACACCATGCTGAGTGTTGAGCAGTTTTTGACCAAAAATCAGAATGACCCCCATGCCCCACACTCCCTATTCACCAGATCTCACTCCAGAAGACTTTTGCTTGTTTGTTTCCCTGAAGAAAAAAGTCCTCAGAGGGAAATGTTTTGCCGATGTGGAAGAGGTAAAACAAAAAACAGTCGCAGAAGCACTAAAAGGCATCAAAATCGAGTTCAAAGACTCTTTTGAGCAGTAAAAAAATATCTTAATACATGTATTGCATCAAATGGAGAGCACTTTGAAGGTGACAAGTTTAAACATATAAGAAATACACAATTTTTTATAGATAAATTCTGGGTTTTGGGGATCCCCTCATATATTTGTTCTTGGAAATCTTTTTTTTTTAATTAATTTATTTTTTATAGAGAGGGGAAGGGAAGGAGAAAGAGTGACACAGAAACATTAGTGTGTGGTTGCCTCTCACGTGTCCCCTACTGGGGACTTGGCCTGCAACCCAGGCATGTGCCCTGACTGGTAATTGAACCAGCGACCTTTTGCTTCACAGGCCCGTGCTCAATCCACTGAGCTACACCAGCCAGGGCTGTTCTTGGAAATCTTGATCCATCTATAATGCTTCCTAGCAACAAACTATGTTCTTAAAATTAATTTATTTCCTGTTCTAAGTGTTGACACAGTTATATGGATTAAGATAATATCACAATTATTAGAGATATACAGTTGACCAAAACAATATAAATAATACAGATTTTGGTAAATAAAATTATTAATTTTTTTTAAATTTACTTTTATAGAGAGGGGATAGGAAGAAGAAAGAGTGGGAAAGAAACATCAACGTGTGGTTGCCTCTCATGTGTCCCCTACTGGAGACCTGGCCTGCAACCCAGGCATGTGCCCTGACTGGGAATCGAACCAGTGACCCTGTGCTTCACAGGCCCATGCTCAATCCACTGAGCTACACCAGCCAGGGCTAAAATGATTAATTAAAAGTATAGATTTTTAAAAAGTAAAGTTTAGCTGAAAGTGCACCTATTATAGACACACATAGGGGCTTCACTTTCATGTTGATGAGTTATTTATCATCACTGTAAGTGTGATTTCTATTCCTTTAAAAATCTATGTAATTTCAACTTCTTGACAAGATGGAGATGTAGATAGGTATGTTTTGCTTCCTTGCACAACCAGAAGAAGGACAACAACAAATTTAAAAATAAAAAGCAACCAGACTGCCATAAAATTAAACTGTGTGGAAGTCTGACAACCAAGGATATAAAGAAGAAACATTCATTCAGACTGGTAGAAGGAGTGGAGACAGGCAGCCAGAACAGAGAGGACACTTGGCAAGGTGGTAGCTGGCAGATGGGTGGTCTTACATTCTCATGTGGAAAAGCCAGGAGGAACAATTGGGCAGAAAGACAGATTGTGCAACCCAGGGCTCCAGCTTGGGAATCTAAAGCCTTAAAATCTCTGGCTGTAAAAATCTGTGGGGGCTGCAAAAGCAGGAGAAACTCCCAGCCTCGTAGGAGATTTCTGTGGAGAGATTCGCAGGGTCCTAGAATGTATACAAACCCACCTGGGAATGAGCACCAGAAGGGTCTAATTTGCTCGTGGATAGCAGCAGAGGTGACTAGAACTGGGGAAAGAACCAAGCAAGTAGCATTGTTCCCTCTCTGACCATTTCTCCACATACAGTGCCACAGCACAGCACAGTGGGTTGCTCCCACCCTGGTGAATACCTAAGACTCTACCACTTGCAACATAACAGGTGTGCTGTAACAAAGAAATATGACCAAAATAAAAGAACAGATCAAAACTCCAGAAAAACAACTAAGTGACGAGGAGATAGCCAACCTAACAGATGCAGAGTTCAAAGCGCTGGTAATCAGGATGCTCACAGAAATGACTGAGTACAGATGCAAAAATAGAGGAAGAAGTGAAGGCTATGCAAAGTCAAATAAAGAAAAATATACAAAGAACCAACAGTGATGGGAAGGAAACCAAGACTCAAATCAAAGATTTGGAACAAAACTAAGAAATAAACATTCAACCAAAACAGAATGAAGAAACAAGAATTCAAAAAAATGAGGAGAGGCTTACCTCCAGGACAACTTTAAGTGCTCCAACACCCAAATCATAGGGGTGCCAGAAGGAGAAGAGGAAGAGCAAAAAATTGAAAACTTATTTGAAAAAATATGAAGAAAAACTTCCCCAATCTGGCGAAGGAAACAGACTTCCAGGAAGTCCAGGAAGCTCAGAGTCCCAAAGAAATTGGACCCAAGGAGTAACACACCAAGATACCTCATAATTACATTACCCAACAATAAGGATAAGGAGAGAATCTTAAAAGCAGCAAGAGAAAAGGAGACAGTTACCTACAAAGGAGTCCCCATAAGACTGTCTGCTGATTTCTCAAAAGAGACCTTGCAGGCAAGAAGGGGCTGGAAAGAAGTATTCCA